TATTGGTTAAGTTTAGTCCTTCGTTGCTTTTATTGTCTATAATAGTTAAATAGTTGTCAGAAGAGAACAACACACACACACACACACACACACACACACACACACACACACACACCTCTCAATTTTTCATTGATCAGGAAAGGTGAATCAGTCAGTTTTAAACACCATGCCTTACAAGCATTGTATAAAAAGTCTTTGATAGAAAGGGATTTAGAAAAGCCAGTGATTCACATGCCAGCTTACTGTACTGTTTTCGGATACAAATGGATTTCATAGTGAGAACAGGTAAGGCAACTGTTTATTCAGGTGAGCAAAATTTCAGTAAACAAAATTTTTATCTCTGAAGGTGAAATGACCTAATTTTAAAGTGAGATTGCAATTAGCTAAAGCTAATCAATGATTTTATAAAGGTAAAATCATTCATTGTAAATATACACAGCTTAATCCAGAAGAGATGGACTATTGGCTGGATGATTTATGCACAAGAGATCTGTACCATGATGGGGGGGGGGGGAAGAAACCATAATATGGATCAGTTTGCATACTGAATACTCCTGAATATGGTGGTTCTGTGGTCTCACAGGCCTTAGTCCTCACTGCTTCCATACAATTCTGTAAAACTTGTATTGACTTCAGTCATAGCTGCCAACAGGTTTGGCTGGGACTGTTCCTCGCTTCGGGAATTAGTTCTAGGGTGTTTTTTCCCCTGTCCTGGCCATTGTTCTGGGGACTGTGGGTTGCGGGGGCTGCAGCTCCGCTTGTCTGATGGCTGAGGCAGCATGTGATCAGCTCCTTGCTCCCCCTGCTGGCCCTCATAACCTTTAGCACCAAGTTGCTCCACTGTTCTCAGTGAGACTGTGAAAGCAAAAGGCAGCTGCTTCCACTGAAGCTGAGAAGCACAGTGCAGATACTTGGGCTGGGCAATCAGTGCTTTACATTGTGCCAGTGAGGCCAAGCTAGGAATATCCTTGGTTGGGCGGAGATAGGATGATCCTTCAGGAGAGAGAAGGGGAGCATAATGGAGTGGGGAGGAAAAAAGGTTGTAATAGTTAAGGGACAGTTTCTGACCTAATCTGTGGTGGTCTGGGATCCTTCGTGCATGTACACACTCTCTTCCCTTTCCCCCTTCCCTTTGAGCATTCTGGTGAAGCTTTAGTTATTTCCTCTGCCTTTTTTTCACTCTTCTAGAAAGAAAGTTTGTGGTGAAAAATACAAGCTAAAATTCACCAGAATGGGCATTAAGGCCTCCTGCAGTGTCTAGACACCTCCCTGTGTTCTCCTTCCGTGCCAATCCCAAAGAGGCAGTTCTTACTTAAACTGGGGGCTGAGCAGGCCTCTGGCTTCCCCCAACTGTGAGGAATAGAAAGATTGCTTAGAGCCACCTTTGCCCCACCTGCCCCTTCTCCGCCCTCCCACTCCTGCACTTACTGCAGGAAAGGAACATCTCAGAATTGGAGCCTGGGACTTCAGTGGAAACAGGACAGGCCTCTACAGTCTCGAACTATAACCAAGACACAAGCAAACCTTCAGGCCTCTGACAGGCATAATACTAATGAACGAGTAATGCTGCAGCCCTGACTTCAAGTAACAGTAACAGCTGTAGCATTAGAACAACTGGTATTGAATTCTCTCTGGCTTCTGCACTTGTGCATTGCTCTTGATTGTTGCCTAATAATAAGCATACAGGTAAGTATTATTTTCAGGCTTTACAATATATAAACTGACCAGTGCTTTTTTTTTAAATTGTAGTATTAAGGTGTTCTTAATAAGACTTTTTTTCTTTTTTGAATGTTGTAAGTTGAATTTCCCAGGAATCCAGTGTTGTGCAAAGGATTTAGTCAATGGCCTTTGAAGCTAGAGGATTTTCAACTGAGTAAAAACTGTAGTATTTGGCCCAATCATTATACGATTCAATAAAACAATTACGCGTACTCTAACAGGAAATTATTCAAACAAATAGTTGCATGCAGTGTCTGGTTCTAATTGAGCTTGATGTTTTATCAGTTAGCTCCCCATTTAGGAGAGATGATAGCAAGCATAAAGCTAATACAAATTAGTGGGGTGAGATGGATTTCTTTGCAACTGCTCTTAGCGGCTTTGCCTCTTTTTAAAACACATATTTATTGAATACTGCAACTTTAACAGTGCAGCAAGTGCTTTGAGCTTTGAAAGAAAAGTGAATATCACGTAAAGCAGCACAAAGATATGCCTTGTACATATTGTTTCTTATGTTAGAGCTATAAAATGAACAGAAGCGTATATTAATGCAGTTTTCTAAAAATCTTTTTTGCTTTTAAATCTTAGATTCACTCCCATTATTCCTAAGCAAAACAAAAAACATCTTAATTTATAGAAGAGTTAAGGTTGAAGATATGTTTTAATTGAGTCCAGCTAACATTCCATGCCATTACAGAATTATAAAAAAAAATTCTGCACCTGAAAACCCAAATGTTAATAAGTCTCAAAATAAACAGTTACCCACACAATATTTGTCTCTTGTAGGGGTTTGCTCTGCTGCCAGTCACCATAGTATCTGAGTGCCTTCCACACAGAATGAAGAGCAATAGTGGAGACCCTAGCACACTATTTTTGGGGTAGGTAGGAACTCTGCTTGTGGTAGGCTTTTGGTTTTGATATTTTTACATTTTATTTATTTACATTTTTCTCTTTTTAATCATCCCCACCTGATCTCATGGTTGACTATCACTTTGCCCCATTAGGGGTTTCTTTGTAATGGCAATATGTTATTGGATGCACACTCTATCTATCAAAAGTGGAGTAAAACTTTCAAAAGGTATATAGTACCAGGTTCATTAATTTATGTCTGATCTATAGGTTCTCACTGTGTGATATGTTTATGGGAATTGAAGAATATTTTTATGCACAACTGGAATGATCTGTGTAATGTTATGAAACACTGAGTGTTGATTATATGTTGTTTTTTTAAGTATGATGGATTTGGATGTTGTATTATATTGAGTAGCAACTAGCAGGATTTTTTTAAACTAGTGAGTAATGTTGTAGTGTTTGTTTACGGTATTGGAAACTGATCCCTTGAATAGGAAGTGGAATTAGTAGAAATCAGAATTTATTGACCTTTGCATATATATGTTTTGGAAATTTTAGGAGGCAAGATTAAAGATGGGTAGATTGGAATTGCAAATCTGGTGCAGTGATGGTGAGTGATTATATGGCAGTGGTGAATTGGTTGGATCTCTTAACTGACAATAAGTTTGTACAGACATTGTGAAATTTTCTGGGTGTTTGTAGGAAGCCAGTGAAAGATGCCTTCACCCTTATTTTGTTTGTAACTGTTATTTCTGCCCTTCATATTTTTCCCAAAAAATCTTCTACAATCTTAGTCTCTTTCTCAGTAATTTTAGTGCTCAGGAAAAGTACCAGATTGACTGTCCTCTCACAAACTCACTGAGCCTACTAGTTCCCCAGTCTTCCAATTTTGGAACTAATAATTTTAAACAGTTTGGTGAATTAAATCGCCACCTGTCCTTAATCTGGGGTGGGAGTTAGAAACTGTATCAAATAAATGTTGACACTTCTAGTTAAGTAGTAGTAAAATGTCAGGGTACTGTTGATGTGACATCATATCCATTAGATTGAAAAGGTATGAATTAGAAATTCAGGCAGTAATTCAAAACATAGTTTGAAGAAAAGCAACAAGCAAACTGGCAGGTATTGATTTGCCAACATATATGTCAGCACATTCTGTGCTTTTTTCTGTTATACTATAAATAATTCCATAACCAATTAATTGATCCCATTTGATGGTGGCCATTCACTAACTCTTCATTTAATTTTTCCTGCAAGATAATCCTCAGCATAATCTAAAACTCCAGGGACAACTTTTTCAAACAGTTTTCTTTGTTACTCTTCTGCTAAAAATCCAGAGATGGTGACCTCTGAGTAAAAATATATTTGTTATTTTGATGCTCTCAGTCAAGAAATATCGAGAGAAGCAAAGATACAGAAAATAATAATTTGAACTACATGAGCCCAGGAGGCAGATGCTCCTCAAAGAAGGTTCATAAATACTAAGTATCAGAGGGGTAGCCGCGTTAGTCTGGATCTGTAAAAGCGGCAAAGAGTGCATCCGACGAAGTGGGTATTCACCCACGAAAGCTCATGCTCCTATACGTCTGTTAGTCTATAAGGTGCCACAGGACTCTCTGTTGCATAAATACTAAGTTCATCTTGAAGAAATGAGGCATTTTGGACTGAAAACGAAGCAATGCTTATGGCAGTGGCTCTCCAACTTTTTGCCTAGTCCACCAATGGTCTGAAGAATGAATCATGTTGAGTACTAAGCACTGGAGAATTGAGAGCAGTGGGGCATCCGTAGGCGCATTCTATTATGAAATGGTTTGCAGAATAACTCAATTGGAGAATTACTGGTTTAAGACCCAGTTCAGTAAAGCACTTAAGCACATGCTTGAGTTCTTTGAATCAGGGTGGACATAAACACATGTTTCAAGTGATGCATGTGCTTAAGTGCTTTGTTGAATCAGGCCCTTAAACTATTTAGAAGTTCTCCTTTATTAATAAAAATGATGATATATTTGAGTTTTAGTGTTTAGTATTTTAGTGGGGGGTTTTTTTTAGTGTGTGTTGTTTGAACTATCTAGCTTGGCCACTCATCTTAAGAATGCATGAGGATGCTCCTTTGCATTTAAATACTCCTAAGTGCATGCAAGCAATATGTATTTGAATTGATGAAGAAAGCGGGAAAGAGGCTCATTTACTTTGACCCAACTAGTATCTGTATGAACTGATTGATAAGCACACTTGAAAAAGTATCGACGCTAAAAGTGTGAGATGCCGTTTGCAATGTTGTTGTTTTTTTTAAGCACACTGCAAAGATGGGCTTGGTTTGATCTCATTCACACAGGGATAAATGAGGAGAAGGCCCAGATCCACCCAGGGGCTTGCACACATATTGCAGATTTAGGCACCACTCTGATCCTGCTCGGCTCCTGCCTAACCCTGTGGGTACCTAAACTCACTTGGCACCTACATTTTTGCTATAAAAGTTCCCTTGGAGCCTCAGTTTCTGCCTCTGGGCATGTGCAAAATACCTCACTCTAGGCATCTGGTCACTTTTTTTTCTCTTGTCCAAGCCCCAGCAGGATCATCAAGCCAGGTGGGGATAGGTGTTCTCCCACCTGTCTTGCCTGTAGGGCCCAATCTGGTAGGCATGGTGTTCCAACATTCAGACCTGGTTCTAGTGGTGGGCAAGTGGAGCAGTTGCAGTGGGCACCAGCTTCTGGGAGGACTGTAATGTGGTGACAGTTGGCTGGCTTTTCTGTCTGTCTGTCTTTCTTTTGGAGGGTTAGGTGTGGGGGGACATTTTCCGCCCGGGCTGGCAAAACGCTTTGGGCCTCTCTTGGCAATGCTAAGCATTGTAATTGCCAAGTCCCTTTGTGGATCCAGGCCTAACCACATTGAAGTCAGTAGAACTATTCTGGTGAGAAATCAGCCTGAGATCAGAATCAGGCCCAAGATCTCAGCTATGTCTCATGTGTTCCCAGAGCTCTGACACAGCAGTGCTGTGACTTTGCCTGTGATCTGAGAAGTTTGGACACTTGTATACAAATAAGCACACCAACTGCGGCTCCAGAAAAAATTTAGGTGTGTGGAATTGTTGGTGCTTGCAGCTGTTTATAAAACTGCATTAGAAAGACCCTTTTTCTACATGTAAATTATGACCTCTTGTCATACCGGTCAACCAGTATGGCACAAGTTCCAAGACTTTCCGCTTTATAATGGGGGTGACTGGATGATACATGAGCTCATTCTCATAGTAATACGTACTGCTGGAGTCAAGATGGTGCCACATGTATTTTCCCTGTTTAGTAATATTTTGCTACAACAGAGGAATGTTTTAGATGCTTCTAATTTACCTATGTTAATCCCTTCATTTTGCCTCTGTTTTTTGTGCTTGCACTTCCAACACAAACAAAGCTAAGCAACTGCAGCATGACACATGAAATTCTTTGCAGAGTGTTATGTGTTGCACAATTAAAACGACTTGTTCATATTAAAGGGTTACAGACTTAAATACTTAAGAAAAAGACTGTCTCTGGGTAGCATGATGAAAACAGCTAAGGAGTGTGGTGCAATAGCCAAAATACAAAACAAAACCAAAAAAACCCCAAGAGGTTAGGTTGCAGAATAATAGTGAAAATATTAAATGCTATTCTATAAGTAGATTCCCATGGTGAATGCTCTGTGCAATTCGGGTTCCCTGTCCTGAGGGTAACATAGCACCAAAGTGATTAGAGGCATAGAAAGACGTCCATAAGAAGGGAAAGTATATAAAATGAGTAGTATACAGGAGGTTAGTTGGGCACCCGTTTGCTGTAATACAAGGATAAAGGACACCAAATGAAATTAAAAAGGTGACACGTTTAACTGGCAAACGGTTTCCCCCACAATGCAAAATTAATCTCTGGAACTCACTACAACATGATTTTGAGGCAAAGCACTTGGAATTCAGTAGGTATGTTATTAAACAAAAATATCCTCCACAGTTATAGTAACTCAGTTTTTGAAAATGTAGGAGTTGTCTATTGTCATGATTTAGCATATAAACCAACCCCTGACTACCTAGGAATAAACTTCTTTCGTAGGCATGCTGTTTTCCTGTACGAGTTCTACTCCTTCCTTTGAAATATCTGGTATTAGCCACTGTCAGAGATAGGATACAAGACTAGATGAACTATTGGTCTGATGCAATCTAGCAGTTCCTACACATTCTGTAACACATTCTGTTAAATGACTGATATTTGCAGGATTTGTTATAAATGGCATTATTCTTCCAAACCAAAATCTATTAAGAATCTGCTGTAGCATTCTGTTTTAGTAGATCTTTATACTGCCCTCATCACTGTAGTGACTGAATGCTTTCCAATAGTGCGTTAAGCAACATCACTGACATCAGTATTCTCATAGCTCTGAGGCAATACAATTCATAAAGCAAAGACAGTGTTTTCTTACAATTAAAAACCAGCTAAATATCCTTTTGGAATTTGTACCTAGAAGGCTCTTAGTTCTTTGGGTCAAAATTATTCTGTAAATAATCTCTCTCTCCTTTCATCTAAAAAATGTATTTAAATTACTTATGTATGAGTGGCCATAGTTACTATTATTGAATGTACCCTAATCTCATTTTTGGTGCATAAAATGAATTGATGTACTTACGAAAGCAAGTAAGTTAACTCATGTTTGAAGACCTGGTTTCAAATTTAAAATGAAGTTTTAGTGCTGCATAGTTATAGTTTGCATAGGCTGTCTTGATCCAGGGGAGAAACATCAGAAACCATTTCAGGGGCAGAATTTGAGGTGCATGGGCCGGGTTCTGTTGGATCTGCAGGAGTTGCTGCAGCTCAAGACTAACGTGTCTTGGCAGAACTGTGGAAGGAAGTTTGCATATCTGTTAGCTGTACTACGTCTGGCTCTATCTAATACTCTCAAGCCCATTCTTTCATGCATACTGTGAATTCACTAACGCATGCGAGAGACTGGTGGCGGTAGGGAGGACGTTTATTGGTGTTTGTGTTAGCAATAATACTGGTATTTC